CTAAGGCTGAAAACACTTTAGAGTGGTTATGTATGGTGGTCTGTGGTTTCTATGTCATGTCTTTTTTATTTTTGTCTTCATTTCAGTGATCTCATTTTAATTACCTGGTTGACGAGTTTTATTATGTTAAGACACAAACTTCAGGGTGGTGGTGTGCCACCTAGTGACATGTGCTGAAGCTGAAGCCACAAGAGGCCAAGAACTGGCTCTCTGGAATCTCATCCAGGGTTTCCACACATTTGAAACAATCTGCGGGAAGTTATCTTAACTACTCTGGAACTTAGTCCACCCACGTGGAAGGTGATGAGACACTATGGGTCAGTGATACATAATCACCATGTCAAAAAGTAACACATCCTTTTAGAAGGTATCCTTCATAATTCCAAATAAGCTGATTTTTGGTTTTGAATGAGACTACTTGTCACTGATAAATGAGACCTAACATAAGCCTGGATCATCAAGTCCTGGGCATTAACAATTTAAAACTAAGCAAGTCAAAAAGGAATTAAAAAAAAAAAAAAAAAAGGATCTGGTGATAAACAAGTAAAATGTTTAATAAAAAATATAAAGTACAGACTAAACCTCTAGAATCTGTAATCTTGTATTTTCTCCCTCGGACTAGATGCATCACTGGTATTTTGGGAAAAAAACTAAGAAAGTATGTCAAACTGTTAAAAAAAAACAACAAAAAAAACCACTTATGGAGTTAAAAAAAAAAAAGGATGTTTAAAATGGAGTTACTATTTGTATTTAGTATCCTTTGAGATGTTCAAGGTAACTTACTCATTTTTTTTTAATTTACCATCTCTGTGTAAAACAACAGCTAAAGGCCATATATTTTTACCTTATTTTTATCTGGAAAGAGCTAGGATAAGTTACATAATTCATACCCAAGATTACATAAATCAGGGCCCTATAAAAAAAGAAAACACATGGGAAATTTCTCTTAGATCCCAACTCTTGAGAAACCGCCATTTAGGGCTTGATTCAATGGGAGAAAATCATATAATATATGTAAGTAAACTTCTGTGCAAATGGGACAGTGCTATACCATGCAAAAAACAGAACTGAAAAAAACTGTCTATTTGGCCTTGATGAATGATAAAATTTTATTACTAATTATACCATATTCTACCTAGTGTTGTAAGGTCTTGCAGAAGTAATACCCTTTAAAATCGAGAAGATGTTGTTTGATGAATAAGTTGGAGAACAAAGGCAAAAAGACTTGTGGATGAGATGTGATCCAAACACAGCAAGAAGAAAGATATAAGAGAGCATGAAATGCTTTAGCAGCCACAGAAACGAAGTGCCAACACACCAACTAATCAAACAGGTATGTGCACTTTGCTGCTCACTTGTACATAACTCTAATGTTAAGTATTAACTCCACATGGGAGTCCATACCATTTCTACTTAAATTCGTATTTTTAAACACTCATGCTCCTGTCAATTCAATTTGGTGGAATGGAGCTCTGCCACCCTGTCACTACTTGGAAGCCTAATTAATATAGAACCTACAATCTAAGTGGCAAAAACGGGTCCATGGAAGAATCATCTCATGTTATAAAAAGTCACATTCCATCTTTTTGTCTCCAAATATCCATCTTTTCTGGCTCTTCTTGACACATCAGGTACACTTAAGCTACTTTACATAATATTTCATACTCAGTGGAAATCTATAAATTCAGACACATCTCAGTCACGTTGGAATCATCTGGAGGACTGAAGTAATGCGGCATTTCTTCCTCTAATTTGCTCTTCATCTTTTGACCACTTTAGCCCTCTCCCTAAGCAAAAGCAGGGAAGGGACAAAGAATTTGAAACCCACGGTGTTCTTCCTAAGAAGCCCTGCTGACCAGCTGGTGGAGGAGGGTTTTCATGTACGTGGACAACCCCAATTACAGGAGTCTGAGGACTCTGTGGACTCAGGTCCTTCCAATAACCTACAACTACAGATAACAGGGACGCTTATGAATAGTGTGTGAAGGAAACAACTCCACTTCCACCATTATTTTATATATAGCTGTGGTCAAAAATTTTTCTACTGTGAACTGCAGTGACAGAATGGCGGGGTGGGCAGGGAAGGAAGAAAGAGACCAGGAAGAGAAGGGCACCTGAGAATCAACAACAGCTTACAGGAGCTTCAGCAGCCAGAGAGCACACATTCCTGGGGCTCAGTGTTGTCTCTATGCCAATAAGCTTAGGACAGAAAACATCCCTCACACCCAAACCAGAAGATAAAATGTGTAGCTGCCTACTGTGGACACCTGATGTCAAGGGGATAGGATCACAATGCTCTCAGTATGACCTTGCTATTATTAGGCCAGGTAGGAAGAATTACACCTGTATTTTAGTTTATAGCAATAGGTGAAACAGCCAAGTTCCTAACTAAGGGTAAAACAATCTTACCATCTATTGGTCATGCTTTTGGCAACTGAATTAAAAAAATAGATATAACGGAGAAAAGGGAAGGGCTTCTCCTTCCCCTGCCCTAGACAGAGAACTCCAGGAGGGATAATGGTCAATCCAGGGAGGCCGCTTAAAGACGGAAGGAGTATTTGGGCTTACAGGGGAGGTAAGTCTTGGCTCACAAAGGGCCTCAGTAAAGACAGGCCCAAGCAGAAGAACAAAGGTAGGAAAAACAACGAGAAAACAAAATTTCTGAAGCTTGAAGCAAGAAAAGGCAGGCAAATTAGGACCACAAAAGAGATCTAGCTATTAAGCGGGTAGTCCCATTTTCCCAGAGCTCCGCAAAAAGTCTGCTTTTGTGAGGTCACTGGGGAGCTCTCACTGACCAAGTCCTAGACAGAGGCACAGAAGGACAGTCACCATCACAACCCTGGCAATGCACCAGGACTCAGACACATTCAACACCAAAGGACAGTCTACTCATCAAAAGTCTCATCTATAGACACAAGATTTAAAGTTCATGACCCTATAATGTATAAACAAAAAGCATGTAGGAAAGGATGCCATTAAGGTTAGGAGAAACAATTAGGCTAAGTAGAAAAATCTAGCATTTAAGAGAGGATTTGAATCCTTATGTGATTTGGGTGAAGTTCATCTCTTCCAGTTTTACAGTTTTTCCATTTGTAAAGTGGGGATAATAGTACCTATCTGTAACCTATATGCTACCTAGGAGTCGCTGCCCTTGATATTTTCACACATGTTTCAAATGCCCAATTCCATGGTCTCAGGGAAACATGTCTTCCTCAATGTGAAAATTCTAAGGAATTTACTTTCTCATGATCTCCAGACTCTAGCCTCCTGTGCTCTGAAGTGCTTTTTCTGCTCTGCCTGAAATAATTCAAGACCCAAAACTCTGCCTCATCAGAGAACTCAAGCCAAGCGTTCCAGTTTTACTGACCCTGGGTATCTGCAGTCATGAGCTGGGAACATATTAAATTCTGTTCCCTTACCTAGAATCTTTTACTCCCTCCCCATCTTTTATACCTTTTCTCCTCCCCCTCCTGACTAAGCTTCAGTTTTTCTACTTCTATGATGCTAGTAGTTCCCCCCTCCTCTGAACCCCAGCAATGGCCAAAAACCAAGCCTGGGACAGAGTCTGTTTCTACCCTAAGCACTTACCAAAGTAGTTTCCCAATTAAAACAATTGGAGAATTTTCAGAAAATTCTGGCACCAGCTGTTAAATCTCTAACATTTTCTCCACTTGCCCATGTGGCTCTGTGGGACTGCTATGTGAGGTAGGCAACTGAGACAAAAATATATAACAAAGTGTGTACACAATGACTTGAACATAGTAGACACTAACTAGCGGCTACCTTTATAATGGTGATGATGCTGGACTGTCCCAGAAGAGATCATGCCTATACCAATCACTTCCAAAGGGAGGACCCTTGACTTCAGCCAAAGTAACTGACAACATATAATCAAAAGCTAAGAAGGCCATAATCTTTCATCAAAAACGCAAGATCTCCGATTTCAAAACAAAACACACATGCCCCACCTAAAAGAATGCACATTACCATGGTGACAGAGCTGGTCTTCCTCGGGAAATTCTCAGAGGTCTGGCCCTTGGTGTTGCTGCCAACAAGCTTTGGCCTGGTAGACTATATGCTCTCTCTGAGGCATAGCTCGTTATGACTGCCTTTGGGCAACAGGACAGCATGTCCAGGCATCTTGCTAGGATTCTCAAACTCAAAGTAGTAAGGTACCCTAGATCTATGCCTGGCACTCTATTAGATGATTAGATTAAAACGGTGTAGTGTTCCAGCCTTTTAGGAGTCATTTATCCCCCCAAAATGCCAAGAAATTAGAAGAGAAAATTCTGTGCACACATTACATGAACACTCACACAGAAGGCAGCTCACAGCCAGGCCAGTCCCTGGGCAGCAATGATGAATACTGTTGTGTACACAAGCTGCAGGATTATAAGTGTTAGCTGCCACTCTTTAAGGGGTAAGTGAACAGGAATCTGAATGCAATCAAGTGTATGAATGTCAGTCCAAGACCCCCCATCCATTCCTGGAAGCTGTTTTAATATTAGCCCAAGCCTAAATGAAACTCTAGGTTTTATCTGGTAAGAAAAATGTGAGAATGTACTCTGTATTTCAGAAGGATCAAATCAAGGGGCAGCAGCAAGATCTTTCTGGATTGTAAAGGGGCTCAAATCCTTAGGCCTAGAACAAGAATATGTGTCTCAAAAAATAGGAAGGTATGATGCAAGATGTTTTATTCCAAGCTCACTCACAGTAACCCAAAGAACTTCAATGAAGTGCAACTAAAAGGTCCAAGGTCCTGGCTCACAGCTGTCTTAACAAATCAGTCCTTTGGGCAGACCTGTGCTGAGTTTATCCTCATGTGCTCATAATATTGTCTCAGTGAGCTCACTAATAAAGAACAACACAAAGACCCACAAGAAAAGAAAAAAGCTATATATAGCATTGTAACAAAAGGCTACACTTCTTAACCTAGGCCTTAAATCCATTAACCTAATTAAATACCCTCCTTCAATGCAGAGCCAGTGGCTATCACTTACCTTCCTCAAAGCTGGCGTTCTTCTGCCTCACGAGAACACGGAAGTTCTCAGCAGGATTCACACTCCCAACCTAGAATACACCACAGATATTAGCCCTGCAGATCACTTCTCTTTCTGGCCGCACCCCAGGCAAGACAAGATGGCTTAATGTATCAAGTGGCCTCATAAAATAACACCAAAGACCAAGTGAAGGCCCTTTCTATTCATTTTCATTTCCAGGGTTCTGTTAAAAGCTAGCATATATAGCTCCCACCTGCTCTTTCACTTACCTCCCTTTATGCAAGCCAAATTCTTTCCAGAGAGGTCAGAAGTGCTACTACCAAGCCACCCGCCAGCCCAGCTTGAAGGCTTTCTGTGGCAGATTGCCTGTGCGTCCTGACACCCAACCAATTAGGAAGGGGAGGATTCTGCAGTGTGGGGTCAGCCCCAAATATATCTGTCCTACTAAGATTACATGAGAAATAACAGCCTGATGCTCGATTCACTGAACTGCCCCTTTCTGGGGGGAATGTTGCTGACTCTGTGGCATTGAAGTTTTGGTAGAATATGTAAACATGCCCAAACTGAAGGTGTCCCCCAACAGTAAAAGTAGATCATGTGTCAAGGTTCACTGCAGTGCTAGTTTCAAAGATGAAAATCTTTGCCACACTATATGGAACTTTCTGATCACACTTATGTCTTTAATCGTCCAGTCCCAGCCTAGATAGGGCCTAAGTACCATTCAGATCACAAGAAGGCGGCAAGGGGATTCTATTATGGCTGGTAAACTCTGACACAGAACGTACTAAAGTTTCCAGTTTGCTCTGGTAAAACAGTCAGAAAAGCTCTCAGAACAAATAAGGTCATAATTTTTTTCCTTCATTATAAAACACTGAAATAAAACCCAAATCATTTTTAAGACATTCAGTTTTTCTGAGAGCATTTCTTTTTGAGGTGGGGAAAAGGCATGCCCTAGTGCTAACTGTCCTTCCCAGTGTACCTGGCTAGTAAGGGAAAATTTTTAAGATCCACTGATTCAAAATAACACCACTGAAAATAAGGCAACATGTTCAAGTTCCCAAAACCTTCCCATTATATAAAAAAGAAACTTGTGAAACCTGTTCTGAAGTCGTATATTAGAAAGAAGAGTTACACTCAAATTTTATATACTTGGAGATTAAGACTCATATCATTAACCTCACTTATCCTATCATTTTGACTTAAAAAAAAGCTGAAAAATAAAGCCAACAAAAAAATCTCTATAAAAAGTGCTCCCACTGCAATGTTCCATGCTCTGTGTATTATATGGTCGTTTCTGCACTGTGTATCATAAAGATAATTCTACAAGCAATTCACTGACAATAATTATTTAAAGAAGTATGGGATGCACCTTCATGGTTTATATCTTGGCAGTCTCCCCTAGCCCCAGCCTTCCTGCAAGGGGGAGAGCACGCTGGAAAAATTCTGCTCACCTTGGTGATCACGCCTTCAGCCAGGCTGGAGAGACTAAATTGGGCCTCCCCTTCCTCAGTCTTGAATTTTTTAGAGGTGGGTCCCTCCTCACGCCTGGAAAATAAATAAACGGGTTTTTTCCCCTTAAAACAGAACAAACAATACAAACCCAGAAGTACTGATACGAAAAGTTAACTTTATTTTTCAAGTGTCAAAAATAAACAGCCGCACTTTGTCCTACTTTACAAAGAGCCTGGCTCCCTCTCCCAGCCTCAGAGCTCGGTGGCCTAACAGAAGCGGCCCTGGCTATTTGACAGCAGTCCAGGGGTCACATCAGCAGTCACATCACAAAGCCCACTCAAGGGTGCAACTGTAAGCACAGGTCATGGACACTGAACATTTCAATAAGAAGCCCATTGCCCTTCAGATCGTATTTGCTGGTTTCTGTCTCAGAATTGACAGCTATTAGCTTTCCACATGCATAGAAGACCATTGTGTCTAATAACCCACCTTCCCCATCATGTATATGAGAGCTTTAGAAGCTTCCACTTACAGCTTCAAAACTTACTAGGAAATCCTTGATCAAATATGCAAGAGCTTACTCTTAGAGAAGTCACACTATAAAAAAGCACTTTCAAAAGAAAACTTTTAATTTGTTCTTTTATCAACCTAATTCTGTTCAGGAAATATGCTAACAGTCCAATAGCATCTGTGTGGTGAGGGAAAGATGACTGCAAGGAAGTGTATCAAACATCTTGCTTCAAGGAACGTTCTGGCTTTAACAGCCTGTCTTGAAGTCAGGAGGAGGTCAAGTTAATTGCAAAAAAGAAGAAAATGAAATCCAAAGGCTCTGCCCATAATCCCCCTTAAGCTACTGAACACTGAGATATCAAGATTTTCCTCCCAGACAAATAATCAATCTGGGGCTAACGCAGCTGTCAAGAAATGGCTGAATGAGAAGGGAAATTACTAGGATCTAGTATTTCTAAATGTGATGTGTTTTTGTTCAAAAGCCCAACCTTCAGACAATGAAGCATGAAGAAGAGGTTATCCTAAAAATAAAGTTAATAATAATAAGGCAGGAGCTGGCTTAGTCAATGCCATTTCAATAACAAATCTCCTCTTATAGCTACATCAATGACTACAGTAATCAGAGCCTTACAAAAACATGAGCTAAAAGTTCTATTACTTGACATCTTTCCCATTTGCCACTTGCCTTTTTCCCTTTGAGAAGCAAAGAAAATTAGAAGAGAGAGGATGAGGCCCAGGCATCATTAAAAAGGGGTGAATCATCCTGAGCTCTTTCCTTCAAACAGAACAGAAAATAAGCACACAAAGCCTTGACGGCAAAAATGGAGGAAAATACATAAACCCAAAGAAGCATGAAATTTGAGTCCATTCAAAAAAACTCACAGCCATTTCAGTTCAACTTTGCCAGGTGTTCCCACGAGACAGACAATATGGTACTGCTGAAGATTTGTAGACAGAAGAGCTGGACTCTAGTCTCAGTGTGGACACTCCCTAGCCCTGGAATCTTACGCCTTCTTAAAAATCTTGATTTTGTACTAATTTTTGTATATCTAGAGTTTAGAGTCTAGTAAGTTACTATCCTCTCTGATCTTCAGTTTCCTCCTCAGGAAAACTCTATGATAAAAAGTACCATGAGTATATCAACTATTTACCTATTCTCTTGCAAAAATACAAATTAACTTATATAGTGATATTAAGAACCATAAACATGCAAAGCACTATGCTAAGTTCTGTGAGAATACAAGGTTGAATCACATAGAGAACTTTTTTTTTTTTTTTTTT